TGCAATAAGATATTACAGGTTTAGTTATTTTTTTATTGTAGTATAGTTGATATACAATCTTATATTGGATTCAAACATACAGCACAGTGTTTCATATTAACAGTTGCCATATTATTAAATCTTCTCCCCCTCTATTGTTGTTACTGTCTATCAACATAGGAAGATGTTACAGAATCATCACCTATATTCTCCATGCTGTACTATTATCCCTGTAACCAGTTTACATTATGACTGAGAACTTTTGTGCCCCTCTATCCCCCTCACCCTCCCTGCCCAAACTAGTCCCCCGTGGTGACAACCAGTCTCTACTCAGTGTCTTTGAGTGTCTTGCTATCATGGTCCTTATGCTTTGTTTTGGTTTTATAGTCTACAAACAAGTGGAATCATATGGTTTTCATCTTTCTCCACCGGGCTTATTTCACTGAGCATTATTACATCCTCTAGATCCATCCTTGTTATTGCAAATGGCAGGATATCTGTTTTTTATAGCTGAATGATATTCCATTGTTTATATGTATGACATCTTCTTTATCCATTCATCTATTGTTGAACACTTATGTGCTTCAGTATTTGCGCTATTGTAAATAATGATGTGATAAAAATAGGAATGCATATGTATTTTTGAATCAGGGATTTTGTTTTCTTCAAATAAATTCCTAGAAGTAGAATTACTAATATACAATAAAGGAGACAGGAATATACAATGGTGAAAAGACAGCTTCTTCAATAACTGGTGTTAGTAAAACTGTATAGCTACATGCAAGACAATGAAACTGGATTATTATCTAACTCCATAAAAAAAGTAAACAAAATGGATAAAAGACCTCAATTTAAGATATGAAACTTTAAACCTCTTAGAGGAAAACAGGCAAATCTCTTGAACAACAGGTATGAGCCATTTTTTCCTGTACAAATGTCGTCAGGCAAGGAAAACAAAATAAAAAGTGAACAAGTGAAACTATATCAAACTAAAAAGCTTTTGTAGAGCAAAGGACACCATCAACAGAACAAAAGACAACATACATTATGGGAGAATATATTCTTAAATGATTTACCTGATAAGGAGTTATCATCCAAAATGTAAAGAACACATATGCCTTAATACCATAAAATCAAATAACCCAGTTAAAAAGTGGGCAGACCACCTGCGCAGACACTTTTCCGAAGAAGAAATACAAATGGCCAACAGGCACATGAAAAGATGCTAATTATCAGGGAAATGCAAATCCAAACCGCAATGAGCTATCACCTGCACCAGTCAGAATGTCCACTGTCCAAAAGACAAGAAATACCAAGTGCTGGGTGAGGATGAGGAGAAAAGGGAACCCTGCTACACTGTTGGTAGGAATGTCAATTGGTACAAACGCTGAGCAAAGCAGTATGGAGTTTGTAGCTTCTTTGCCTTAACCTGGAAAGAACTCTCTCCATGAAGCTCCGGTTCCTCTCAGTGGGAAATAATATTTAGAGACTGCATCTTGTTTCCCAAATTGCTTACAGTGTAACATGGATAATGGGCCAGGGCAGCTAGGTATAAATACACTAAAATTTAGAATTTTCATTTTGACAAGCATTCTACAATATTTATAGATTATTGAAGGAAAAATTTTGTAACTTATCTTTGTTATTGATGAAGATTTTGGGTTATAGTGTAGAATATATTTTCAACTCATGTCACCATATATACTTTCATTTTTATAGTATTGACAGAGTCAAATTTGTCTATTTCACACATTAGGTTTCCAAGAGCTTGAACAAAATCAATCTGGTAAATACTGTTTCCTATCTCAGATATTCCTATATGCCAAGTCAAAATTCCAAAGAAATATACAGAGGTTTATGCTTTGAAATAAAAAACAAGTGTGGGTAAAAATGCAGTATTTCCACAATCTTTTGCCTAGCCTTAGTGCTTCTCCATGTCAGTAGGTGTTTCCAAGGGCTGGAGAGAAGTAGTCCATCTCCATATCAGTAGGTGATTCCAAGGGGGAACAAGGGTTTGTGTGGACCAGAGAGGTTGGGTGGGCTCCACTTTTGGAGCTGGGTCATGAGAGACACAGGCAAGCAGAAGTGGATGATGGTTTGTAAGCAATAAACAGGTTTCTCCCTCTTTATTTCTCCCTTTGACTGATTTTGGCTTCAAAGGTAATTTGCCCCAGGCTGGGAACATATGTCCCTCCCTCCCCTGGCCCCCTGGGAAGTTGCAGCAAGTAATTTTGTATTTTATATAAGCTAATTTTCTACTGGATTTTAGAGGAAATTCAGTACATTATCTCTTGCAGAGACTCTGAATTTGACCTCTGCTATTCATTTGACTTTTCCTTCAATAAAGGGTAAACATCACCATTCATCTTAGGGAATTTGCATTAATGTATTCAAAATTTCTTACCACCTTAAAATCAACTTGGTTAACAAAAATGGTGATATCCTGCTGACTATACTGATCTTTCTGAGGTTAGCCTGGATTGTTATCATTACCAGTAATATCACCAAAGGCTTAATTAATGAGAATAAAATATTGTTGGGAAGGAAAAATGTTCTTCTACCTTCAATGTTCTTCTGACTGGCCTAAGAATCATATTGACATGATACATATTTATAGGAGACAATCAAATTTAATTACATATAGGTGAAGAATCCACACAGACATGAGATTTCAAAGACAGGGAATAAAATGAGGTATATATGCCACCTGAACTAAGGAGAAGAGTGGTAAGGGTCTGGGACTTCAAAGGAGAGGAAAGTAATTCACAGGAAGATGAGAGCAGATGTTTGGTAAACAAGTGTTTGTTGGGCAATGGAAAACAATGTGACATGGAGAGGAATTTTAATAGATTTTGCTAAATTCCTCCCTGCCTACTAGGCCTATCGTAATGTAAGCTATCTCTGGTAATAGCTATCTTCCTGGAGTGGGTTTTCTGTCTAAATTCTTTTAGGCAGTTAGGAGGAAGAAGAAAGTTTGTATGTGAGTCTTTTGCACCTCAATGCTTTTCAGATCAAAATAATGTGCCTGTCACAATGACACGTCTTGAGGCAACCTGCCCTTGGTCCCGACACTTTCAGATGGTCATTTTTGTCCTAAAAATATGATTCTAGCTACAATCATTCCATTTATATGCCAAGGTCTAGAATGGCATCTGGTATGCAAGCTCATACAGAGCCTTGTTGAAACACGTTTCATCCACTATGATCTATGAAAACTATCACATCTAAAATTGTATATTTCTGAAATTTATAAAGGAGCAGATCTGTAATATATAATTTTAGCCAGAAATAATAACATGGAAGGAGGCCCCAAATCAGCTGAAATTACTAATATAGTCTGCAAATACGTAGAATCAGACAAAGTAAATCAAGATAGGGCAATATTTTATTCATTTTTTTTAGAATTTTCTCATTTGTTTGACCAAATGAAAGTTTCTGGACCATGTCCTTAAATGCCTGTTTCACTTGCTGGTTCCTTAAGGTGTAAATGAAAGGATTCAATAAGGGGGCAACTGAGGTATTGAGCACAGCTACTCCTTTGCTTAAAGTCACTCTATCATTTGCTGATGGTTTTATGTACATGAAGATACAGCTACCATAAGAGATGGAAACTACAATCATGTGGGAAGAACAGGTAGAAAAGGCTTTGGTCCTTTGCTGAATAGAAGGGAATTTGAGAATTGTTTTGATGATGTAGCCATAAGAGAGAATCACTAACATCAGTGTGACCATTAGTGTGACAATAGCCAAGAGAAAACACATTAGCTCTAGGAAATGTGTATCAGAACAAGAGATCTGCAGGATGGGAGATGAATCACAAATAAAATGATCAATGACATTGGAAGCACAGAATTCCAACTTGAGTCCCAAGATCATTGGAGGAAAGATAATCAGGAATCCAGTTACCCAGGAGCTGAATACAAGTTGGTAGCAAACTCTGTTGCTCACGATGGTGGTATAATGCAGGGGTTTACATATAGCCACATAGCGGTCATAGGACATGGCAGCCAGAAGGTAAAATTCAGTTACTCCCAAAAAGATGAAAAAAAATAACTGAGTCATACAACTCATATAGGAAATAGTCCTGTCTTTTGTTACAAGGCTCACCAGAAATCTTGGAATACAAACAGTTGTGAATGAGATTTCTAAAAGGGAAAAATTCCTTAGGAAGAAATACATTGGTGTCTTAAGGTGGGAATCCAGAAGAGTAAGAATAATGATGGTTAAGTTTCCTGTGACGCTAAATATGTAGGTAAAAAATAGAAAGAGGAAAACTACAACTTGCAACTCAGGGTTATCTGTCAGACCCAAAAGAATGAACTCTGTCTGCATTGAATGGTTTCTCATTTCTCTCTTATGAATTTTATCAAAGCTAGACAAAAAAAGTAAAAAAAAAATAGTAAGGATTAACTATTGGAGTTATTAAGAAATAACAAAGAGTGAGAGAGAAGCTAACATACATTGATCACCAACAATGTGCCAGGCACTATGTGTGGAGATTCACATAAATATCCTTATTAACATCTGCAGCAACCCTCTTTGAGAAGAACGTTACTCTCTCCACTTTCATGAGAAGGAAATCTAGACTCAGATTGAAGTTTTCTGGAATATGTACCTAAACCCCAGCTTTGTAACAAAAAGTTGATGAATCTTTAATAAATATAAATGCCCAGGACACTCAAACAACTGTTTGAATAACTTTGGTGAGATCTAGCCATTTATTTTTATACAAAGTTTACAAGTTCATAGACAAATGGGGAAATAACTTTGTTTGTAATTCAGTTGGGTCCTGAACTCCAAGTCATATAAATTCCACACCTTTGCTGTTTTTAATTTTATCTTTTTAACTTTATCATACTGAATATCCACTAAAAAGTCCTAGCCTTGAGACATGGATAGACTTCAGAATGTTTATGAATTCACTTAAATTATCCTATGGTAATTATGTGTGAAGAGGGCATGCAATTTCCTTCTAAAGAAGGAGCATATAACACACAATATGTGCAGAACTCAGTACAACCCAGGCCAATTGGGTGGCAAGTTAGAGAATTGCAAATGGAACCTGAAAGATATAGACTGTAGTCCTAATATCATAGAGCTAAAAGGAGTTTCATAGATCATTTGTCCAATCTTGTACCTAAAGGTAAAATCCTTTTACAAAATTAAAGAAGGTATCTATTTATTCAGGTTACTTTTAAAGTTGCAGTTATAATAACTGATAGCTTTAACGAATAAGAAAATCTTTAAAACATAAATATAAATAAAAGTGAGAAATCCTTTGTAATTGAAAAAACATACACACTCTTGCAACCACATTTTAAATAGGGGTTTTCAACTCCTTACACATTTTTGAAATCAGCTACATTGCTTATAAGACCTATATGAGGACTTTTTCTTTTTTTCCTTCTTCCTCTTCTTTTCTGTCTCCTTCCTCAGAATGTTTTATGAACTAGATTGTAGATCAATTGGACTATTTCCTTATTGAGTTTATCATTAATACTTTCCCTAAAAGACAAAAAGAAAGGAAGAAAAACCCACAAATAAGCCAAAGAATATATATTCTCTTCTTTAGAATTATCATTCTCGGGAATGAAGAATTTTCTACAAAGAAAATTAAAAATCAAATGAATATGAGACATGTTAACAGGAGAAAAAAACCTGAAGTTAAATTATGTACAATTTTTTAATAAAGCACAAAAAATGTTTGCTAACAGACCCACATTTATTTTTAGTTTTTCTGTAATAAGGAAGCCAAAAGTAGATAAACCTATGTTCACTAAGTAAGGTTTCATTATTTTAGCTTATGATCTAGTTATTCAATGAATTTAACTTACCTCACCATTTAGCTTAACAAAACTTTAGGGGCAGTTTACCAAAAAAACCTGAGGAGCTGTTCATAAGTATCTATACTATGAAATACAATTGTTGTAAAAAGTTTTCTATAAACTCTTCCTCCACTTACGTCTATCTAAATCATTTGCTCCCGGTTATGTTAGACTGCCCATGAAAACTTCATGAGACATCAGATAAGGTCAGCCATTATCCCAGGACGTTTTTTTAAAAACCATTTTCTAACAGATAATGCCAACTTATTTCACTTGAAGTAAACTGAGACATAATAGACATTTTCATTTTAATGCTGATAATCCTTAAGAGATTTATTATAATTAAGCAACAACCTTAAATTAGTTTTAATATCAAATATTATCCCAGATCCCATGAACTTGAAAAACATTTGGGTTAGTTTCTTTCAGAATTTCTGAGAGTTTTAGAATGCCCAATTTTTACAAGTACTTATCTTTAAATGAAATCAGTTGAATTGTTACAAATTAATTTTAGGAAAACCAATCAGAGATAAGAAAATTTCACATTTACAGTATACACACACACACACACACACACACACACACACACACACAAAAGTACAGACACATGCAAACTAATATCTGTGGAGATTTTTTTGCCCCATTCCTAAAATCTCTGTGTCCCTCTCTGCCTCTCCTTTAATTTTCTCAGATGAGAAACTGTTTCTAAGGCTTTGAATTTCAAAGACTGACTCTTATGTCCTAGAGTAGATGGGGGAAGCAAATCTATATCACAAAGGCACAGAGAAACTAAGCAAGTTTTTGTTTTTTAAAAAAGAATTTTATGGTAGTTATTTTTATTTTCTTTATTTTCTTAAGTACAGGACAATTTTATTCCAATGTCCTGATCTTTTATTATATCTACAGGCACTTTGGAATGATGGGGAGGTCTAGAGATTAGTAAAAATAGGTGTGCATTAAATTGGTTCTAGAGCTCAAACCTCTACCCTGTGGAGATTAGATTTGCAAAATAGGACAGCTCTTTTAAAATCTTCAAAGAATTGTTTTTCCATCTATGTAACAAAGGCTGACACCTCCATTCATGTTGAAATGTTATTATTTCCCTCTGTGTACCTTTAACTAAGGGGAGAAAACTTATAAAACATTTCTGTCAGTCTCTATCAATGTGAACTTGACACTGATTTTTTTTTCATAAAGTTATTATATCCTTCTAAACATCTTGTCAGGTTTCAAGTAAATATGCTGGAACAGTAAACATTTCTGATAGTATCAAATAACCCCGCGGACCCAAGAGGCATCCTCAAAGAGAGTGCAAACTATTTAGAAGATCTAGAGTGACTCCCAAAGATCACCAAGGAACAAACCACCACTTGCATGGCCCAGGCAGGCAGAAAGCCAAGTCAAGGTCTTAGGATGCAAATGAGACAAGTCAGAGAGAAACAGTTATTCCCAGGAGAGAAAGGATCAATAAGCAGTGGGTTTGGATTTGCAAGGGAAGGGGCATCATGAAACGCGGTTTCCCTCCTCTGCTGTTCCCTGGATATTGTCACCAGTTTATCATTTATAGGAGGGACTAACAGAAAGTTAAGTTATCAGTTTCCTCTGGGAGGGGCTTGTGAATGGTCACTAATAATTAGAACACCTCTACAAATTTGAGGGGATCTCCTGAAAATTCAGGTAAAAAAATTTAAAAGAGCTTCTGCTGTCCATGGGGCATAAAAAATTATGTTTTTGTTGGGTAGTTTAGAATAAATCTGCAAAGGACATTGCATAACAATGGCTGAAATTGGCAGAGCAAATACAGAGCCCAGGAAGGTGGAAGCAAAGCAAGCCCAACCTCTGGAGCTTTGGTTAAATTCCTTCTCTTGCTTTCAGCGTTTCCACGAGTGACCTGTATTCTTTGGGCATAGATTTAGGTTGGAGTATTCTTTATAAATATATTGGGAAAGGAAGTGAAAACATGTAAATGGGCCAGATTTTAAAAAGGGAAATTTATGTTGGATATGGCCATTACTTTGTGTTCTAAGCCTAATTTCTGTTCCTTTACCTTGTCAAGGGAATTCCTAAGGCTAGCTGTTACAATACAACAATAGAAAGCTCTCTAAAAAGATTCTGTCTTTCAACTATAGCAAATTCAAAGGATCCATCTTCTGGCCATTTATGAGTAAGATCTTAATGGCAGCTCAAACCTATAAACCTTTAATGAAAAGACCTGGAGGCGACTTTCCAGATTTAAAACATGCACACAAGAAATGTCTCTGGAGGGCATAGATGAAGCCGCCTCCACGATCCAAACGTTCACTCCACGGTCAGAGAATGACACCAGGCAGACTCTCCTGGAAGGGGACTTTTCCAGCACTTCGAAGCAATGAAGCTTGGGATGACAAAAGTCCCTGGGACTGGGACCCCTTACGATAAACTGTTCTGAGAGCTGGAACAGTTGGAGCCTTCTGCTCTATAGCTTGTCGGACTCTCCTCCAGATGCATGCCAGTAAGTGCAGAGATAATGCTTTCACCAGTCACAAAGCAAACCTCCCAGGACATAGCAAGACAAAATGTGACCTTCACCCAGTTTCTTCATACATCCAGTTATTTCAACAGTTTTAGCTAAGCCTTGGACTCTCAGAAGCCAAACTAATACCTAGGATGGTGTGTCACAGGGTTGGGATCATGTAATGTTTTACTGTTGCACCTCATTGCACAGAAGTTTTCCTGAAGTCAATCTAAACCATTCCATGACTGACTGACCTATCATGAGAGTCTTTGAGTTAGGTGGTTGCTCTGACAGCTCGTAAGTGCTCGACCTGTGCCGACCAGTTTTGTGGATTTGCTTTCCAAGTGTCCTTTAGCTATAGCCTTTACCCCACATACACATTTAATAATGAAAGAAAAGACACGCACTAAGGAAACACAGATCGTCTCTGGGAGGAAACAGTCAGCATATCCAAGTGCACTCAACCAAATTTACAAAGACTCACCAAGCCTGAGGAGCTAGTTCCAGCAACATTTTCTCCTGCTAATTTAAACTTAGAAAGTGAGAAAAAGGACTCTCACCATTCTTGTTCCATCAGACCCCCACAGATAGATATTCTGGGGGGCTAACATGGTAAGAAATCTTACCTTCTGCTGTCTGTCCATCAGATATCCCAGAATCTCTCAACTGCAGCAGCCTTGAAGCAAGCAGAGTTCAGCAAGATATCCTGCCAAGTACACCACCTGTGGGGGAGAAAGATTTTCCCCCACCCTTCAAGGCTCTTCCAGCTGGTCTAAGAATTGAATTTACATGAGACAGACTAACAGGAGAGAAAAAGCCAAATTTTAATTATGTATGTATGGGGAATCCATAGCCATGAGATTCAAAAGATAGTCATGGAAAATGAAGTACAGATGTGATGCTGAACTGAGGAGAAGGGGTGGGGTCTGGGGCTTCGCAGGAAAGGAAGACAATTCACGGGCATAGGAATGAGTGAATGTCTGGTACCAAACACAGGTTTGCTGGGCAGAAACGAGGGGACATGGAGAAGAATTTTAACAAATACACTTTGCTAAATTCCTCCCAGTCTACCATGCCCAGTTTATATTATAATGTAGCTATCTGTGGTCATAGCTCTATTCCTGGAGCAGCTGCTCCATCTAAAATCTTTTTATGCAGTTGGGGCAGTTCGCAGGGATGGAGGTCAGTGTCTTTCTGAGTCTTTTGGGTTTTGACTGCTTTTAGCTCTGACATCATTTTTGTGCCGAAGTGGCACGTAGTGGGATGGCCTGCCT